ACTTGCGCCGTGAGTAAATCCGGTTGATAAATTAGAACTCAGGCGAGTGATATAGTGGGCCAGTACCTAAGAGGTTGCCGGAAAAATGTTGCTTTGGGCTGCGATAGCGTCAGAATAAACGGTGCATCCAAATTTGGTGTTTTGTCTGTTCATCGAATGTGTTATAATAAGTCAGGTTGCGCTAATGCTAGGACAGACAGCGTACACTATAATCCAGTAGCATCGTATATTTCACTGATCACATGACAGCGCCAAGCTTCCTTGGAATGCTGTAAGACTAGAATACATCAAAGATCTCACCAAGTGTAGAAGAGTAATTCCATTATGACAGGGGGCTGTGACGTGACTACCGATGGACTTGACATCCGTAAGGCGTACACACAATCCTCTGCAGTCTGATTACATCACGACAAAGCTAGCCCCCAGCCACCCCATGTTCTACAAATAAAAATATATGAAAGAATAGGTGCGTATATCTAATGTGAGCCACTGACAGGTTTGCTGGAATGTCGTTAAACACGTGCAGTGCATGGTAAAGGACTTCATCCATGAGGACACATTATGCTCCAAATGACCAGTGATTGAGAACACGTAAGGAGAGCTTCAGAAGTTATTGTATATGATGTCAAACGTAAGATATTTGGTTGCTGTACAACTGGAGGCGAAGCATAGGGGGGAGGGGCGGACCCCCAGGAGGCATGTGACAAGGGCGGCATTTTGAGCACCGCTGATAGTTCGACACTAAACATGACAAACTACACATTTACGTCATAAGTCACACCTCTGCAAACATCCTTCTCAGCTACCCCCTAAATTGTCCCACTGTGGTCATTTTCACGCAATTTATCTCTCAGTGCTCCAAACTACCATCCATTTCATTGAAAGCCAACGTGTACTTTACCCTGGGCTGATTTTGAGCGTTTACGGATTTACAACCGTCAGGAGGGCGGCAAACGTATTCGCTATGCCAGTGCGTACAAACCAATTATAAGAGACAACTGTATTATGAAGAGAAAAGAGGATGCACGATCGAAGTCGATAAAAAGTAGATGTTGAGGAGCAGCGCGCTTATACACTGTCAAGAACACCTTCCGAAAATACTGGTTATCTTGCGAAGAGAACGCGGTATCGGTGAAGCAGCTTCGTTGTAGCTTCCATCGCAGTAAGTCATAACCAACTTTATTCCATAGTAATTGCAGCAGCCATTTAGGTAAACACCGGACTGTAGTATGCGGATGAGGTGCAGGCAGCAGCCCGTCAGCTGGGTTCTGTTTAGGTAGTTATTGGAGCCCAAGTTAACTCTGTAGTGCAGGCCTTTTTCGGGCAAACAATGGCATACAGCAGAAGCCATGCGCTGTGAACAATCGCCATCAGTTTAGTAGACATGGTAAACCAAATGGTTGTACAGAAAGATAATGGAAACAAGTGAGCACAGTCACTTCCCGAAGAGAACCACGTTATCGAAGAGCTGAGCATAATGCCGAGTGTAGTATTTGGACGGTAATATGAAACTAGGTAACCGCATGACAGATAGTTAGAAGTAGGTATAAAGAGATTGATCCAGTACGACCACGGATACAGTAGAAACGGTGTAATCATCACGATCACGTAGATGAAGCACAAGAGTGGCAACGCAATCGATGAGAGCTTACCTGGGGAACAGGGCGCGTCGAATATGCAACATGCGTCGGCGAAAAGACACACCATCCACAATCATCTCAAGAATGTAACAGAGGAGAAAATTGGCCACCACGAGTGCGTGAAGAATCATCAAAAACTGTGCAGACGGAATGCGCGTCATCTGTGGATGTGAAACGAGGTAGATGGACAGGGAGGCAATGTGGTAAACCACAAGGGAACAACAAACGAGTGATTGAACCGGAAGCAATCGCGATTGAGACAGTGGCGTGGTAATGAGATGCAAACGTGCAAACCAACATGTGGATCACCAAAGTAACAGATATGTAGGCGAAAGCAGGTCGCATTAATTATCCATTCAGACAGCAAATCTAATGCAAAGGAAACAACAGAGCATGTAAAGATCGGAAATGCACTAATGCGCTACAACATCAAAAAGTGCGAAAAAATTACATGATAACCGTCACTGTGACATCGCCGGCCTTCAAATCGGCCATCGCCATTTTCTGCTTGAGGTACTATTTTTACGCTACCCACTGTGGATATATCAATTTGGTCTCTTTTCCCGCATTTTGTTTACCTGGATCATGCTGAGGTCATCGATGTTGTCCTACACTCCCGACTCCTTGAAATTGTTCAGAGATACTGTGAAAAGTGCGCCTTATATTACATTCGGTCACCAAATCATCAAACGAATTATAAAACAACGCTTTGGCAAAAGAAGAAAACACCGTGCTAGCCGATAAGCCAAACTCAGACGCTGTCCAATTAATAAAGTGCAACTTCTGCTAATTATCTCTAGCAATGTGCGCTCTCTGCTTGGCAAAGTTGCCCAAGTCAATGCCACTATGCAGTGTAAGGAATATGCAGTCGCAATTATTTTAATGCTACAAGTAACTTGGTTACATCCGGATTTGGACGCTTAGGTTATTCAACTCAAAGGATACCGTGTCGTGAGGTCCGATCACCCTGGAAAGCCACAGAATCACAGAGAAGGCGTTGCCACACCTATGTGTACCAGTCATGGTGTAAAACAATTACCTTGCTCTCTACATACTCAAAAACAAAAATTAGTTGTCATTTAATCGAGTGTAAACTGAAATGTCTTAGTATATTCCTTTCCGTCATCACCGGAAACATCTACATAGCCTCGGCAGCACGTCATGGACTAAGGTCAAAATTCGCAGATCACTTCACATCAGTGTGGCTGACTAAAATTGATGTGTTCTGTCTGTATCGCTGGCTGATAGTTTTAGCAAATGTGATACGACCTTATCAAGAATCAATTGGTCTAAAATACGGTATCTCTCGAAATCATACTAAGTGCGCAATTGAATTTTGTTTTCATAAATAAAACCTTTTTTCCAATTTACGTCGAGCTCGTCGGTAACTATGTCCTGAGAATATTCCCAATTACTTACAGCAAGACAAACCTCAGCTTTTCGAAAGGGAAGTCCTTCAAAACCAACGGACGGCGAGACTGCTATAAGGAAAGTTTTGCAAAACTACATGCGATGCTGGCTTCAAATGACTTTTCCGTTTTCACGGACGAAAACCTATCACTGTAGTGTGCATACCTTGCCACTTGTATCAACTGCTGCTTTTATCTATTCTACTCCATTAGAACTATCTACATTCGCATGCACACATGATCTACACCACTACTGAAGCGGCTTAGACAAAAGTAGGAACATACATATAAATTCAAATTGTCTGCCCAAGTTAAACGACTAACATTGGCAATAAAATCAGAGGTAATGCGACTGAATAGTTTGTAGATTGAAACTGTGCTACATAGTCACGATAGTCACGTGACCTGTGTGACAAAAGTTCAATGAAGCATCTTGGTAATGTGGATGTGGACAGACTAAATGCCGAAATTTGTTATTTCTCAAAGGGTTTCTGTTCCCCACCCCCCTCCTCCAACACTGGTCTCGTAGTCACCCTTGATCATCATCATCATCATCCTCATACACGTTAGCTAGAGATAGGAAACACCTCAGCTCCTGTGCCGCAATTCACCCTTGATCACTTGGACTTGTACAGGGAACTCAAAAAATGAAGATTACTAAAGCTGCTGGACTTGACGCTTTAGCACCACTCGCAGATTAGCTCGCGGTACTCTTAACCGCTCTACTTAGCCCCTGTCTTATGAGTGGCACAATCCCTGACAGTTGGAGACCTTTAAGGATAACGACTGTGCCCAAGTAGGAATCACAAAGCCATCGTCCGATTGCATGTACGTCGGTGATGTTAAAAGTCTGAGAAACTGCTTGTACCTCGGATCTGCAATTGTACCCAGGCAGACGATGTATACCAGTTTGCCTATAAACCCAAGCGCTCCACACTGGATGTTTTGTCGTACTTCGTGCATTCGGTATCATCGTCACTGGGTGAAAAATGCAGAGCAGTGCGTCTATCGTTTCTCGATTAGTCCAATGCTTTTGGGAGTGTCAACAGATCAATTCCACTCAGCCAGCTGTTCACGAGTGGGAGAAATACAAACGTCTGCAACCGGATCACAGACCACTTCACGCAGCATAACGGAAAAAATCCACAACACTTTGCTCCTATCGTGATGGTTTACAGGGAGCGATTCTCTCTCCTCTACTGTTTTTATTATATATCGAAGACCTCCCTACCGCCCAAGTTTATTGATGTCGTCGTAGGATGTATAACTTCAACCGTTGATACATCTACTCTTCAGAGTGGTGTGGTTTGATTATCACTGCTTGTTCGTGGACATCATCATCACGGACGCTCTGGTGTTACACGACACCAGCAATGTTCTGTAGGCAACGATGGTCGGAAACTCAGACCTCTGACCGAAGTAGTCACATTTCAGTACCACACAGAGGCCTTCACTGTGGGCTAGTATCCAAGGTTCTTTAAACTGAGAAAAATCCACTTCCGACGCTACACGTGTAAAAGATACCAGAATGTGATTCTGGGTTTCGTAAAACGTAAGCTGACTTTAACAGTTGTGTTCTCCACACCACTAAAGGATAAGTGAATTAGTCCGTCGTTACACATCAACAAGAATCAAACGACCAATTGAAGTGCAACAGTACTTTGAAGATGGTTGCCAGGTGATAGAACTATTTCAAAAGATGTGTCCAAAGCAGACTAAGCTGTCTTTCCGGTTTCAGCCGTTTCTCTTAGGGTTGACAAATTTCCCCCGGAAGAGGGGAGGAGTTGCATAAAGGTGGGATAGAGATGGGCATGAACATGCCCCAAAGACGACAAATGACCAGGCAAGCACGTATGCTTGCTTTGGAGAAGAAAGCACAGAAAACAAATGCGCGGGAGATGCATACATATTCCCGGAGTCCAATTGTGTGTTCGAGTGGCTCGATGTGGAAGTTACCGCTGTCGCATACAGCACGGTTTACGACGCTAGCAGACACATCAGACCACACAATGTGATTAGTATTACTTGCAATAGAGTATTGATGATTGAGGAATGGATAATTATCGGGAGAAGAATAATTGCCACAGGAGCTAAAAAAAAGTTTCAAGAAACACCGTAGAAGCTCTAAGCGTGGTGTCACGCCAGTCTGCGTCGAAACCGTATCCTCGACAGTGTGATTGGCATCGTGTGCACAGCACTCAAAAAGCAAACCGATGATAATTAGGCGACAATGGGGATGGTGGCCACAGCAACGATGCGGAGGAATAAGATGAAAGGGGACACTTACTTCCATAAGATGGAGGATGATGTCCGCTGGATATGAAGTCACATATGCTGAGACTCCGACGCACACGACCAAATTGATGACAAATAAATCTGAAAAGATACAGTGAAGTTGAAGTCTAAGAGAAAGGTTCTCAAAAAGGTAATAAGGTATGGTAGAAAAATGCGTTGCAGTAGACTAGTGACAGAAGATTTGTGGATGAACCGCGTACCAAAATGCTTGGGAGGGTAATGCGTTCCTCATGAACGGAGGGAGAAGATTGACCGCCCATGTGGTACGAATTTTCCAACTAACTAACTTGATAAAGATAGACCGCAGGTTAGGCCCGACTGACAGTACGGTTTGGTCTATCTGTTACAAAAAACACAAACGGCTAGAGATCGAGTTAATTAAGTTTAAGTAAGCTTTGAACAGTCATTTTGTCCCATCTGGTCACAAACATCGTCGACACGGTCTGGGATCGCAGCCAAACTTTTACGAGCAGATGCACAAGCTATGATTGATGTCTTTAATCGACTTGACCGAGCGACAAGCACAAAGGACAATTACGGGTGACACGTGTTTTCACCCAACGGCGGTCTGTCGAAGATACCATAAACTGTTAACAAAAAGTAAACGCCAGTAGCGAGTCATCAAAGAGGGAGGTCATCCTGTAGGGCAACTTCGGGGTGGGTTAGCTTAGTGGTTTGACACAAGTTCCGGCTTTACGTAACCGAAACCCTTGCACTCAGCACTTGTTGAGATTTTTAGTCATTTAATAACACAGATCTTCTTTCCTTTCTGGTGCTGATTCTCCTCCACGTAAACTAATCAGTAGTATAATGGGAACCCGAAAAGGAATTAGAGTTGCGCGCTTAACAGTTGACCATTCGATGAGGAAGAACCGACTGAAAAAGTGAGCGTCCATTTCCTCCGAAGAAGACGAGGATTTCATACAGAACAATTGACACAAATCTCATTGGAGGAGGGGTCGAGAGCGCAATCTTTCGGCGCTAAGTTTAACGCTCAGGTGGAATGCAGATGATTGACTATTTCGCCAGTTTTTGTGGCCAGGGAAAGATGAGGGGAAAAAAGTGACCTAAGTGGCGAGCAACTAAACCGCGCGAAAATAAACTAGTTCGAAGAAAAAGAAAATATAAGTCGGCCGACAAAACAGACTGACAACTTCAAATGATTTGATTCGATCTCACAACTATCGCAGTTCATTAGGACTAAATAACTAAATGAGCCAGCCAAACACAGAAATGGGATGGTCAGCTATTGGGACGCACGCAGCTGCGACAAGAGTAAAGAACAAGAATGGGAAAACGTGGTGGAAGTGTGAATAGTGAGGCGCATACTGCGCGTGCTTACTACCGCGGCCATGGATCGGTGAAGTTGGTGAAACTGGCTCAACTTCAGTCCGTGGGTTGTTGAAGCATACTATAACCTACCAAGTGTTGCCCGCAGATCTCAGTGGCATAGTGCTTATGGCATCAACCATGAGTCACTAGGCTCTGAGTTCCAGCCCAACTCAGGCTATCTCGAACTGATGAGTCCCAACCAGGACGAAACCGCGGTCTTGGGTTGCCAGTGTTGGGATGAGCAACACTAGAATGTTTCCATACTATAACCTTGTTTCCAAGTCAGGAGCGTTTCATATTCTGTTAACAGGTGCCCTCGTGCTTTCACATCAAGAACTCCGAGGAATAGTGCCTGTAAGAGTACCGCTTCGAAGAAATGAGCTGGCATAAGCGCAAAGGAGGACGAAGAGTAAGGAGTCTCACAGCGACGGGTTCCCCACTTAGAACGTTCCTTGCTGACGTCTTCATGAGTATGTAGTAACAGAGCAAGTTAAAGTCAGCAATTGCAAGCTTCATTTGATACAATCGGTACGTGAACGACCACTTCAATTTGCTTCAGGCCTCTCGAAGTAACCAGGAGCCAAATAATCCATCGAACCGAGCGCACTCAACAATAAAGTTCACCTTTACGCACAATTCAGAAGTACGGACGCTTCACTACTGCGCAACCACCAACGGTCGCACGCGAGCCAAGGATACTGCGAAGGGCGCCCGGTCTCTACGTAGGCTCGAACTCCCGCGCTCAGATTACAAGGCAAGCTTCTGATGCTTAAGGGACAGTCGTGAAAAGACATGATGGCGGTGCGCTGCATAGTTGCGTGCACAGGAAGTCAATGTGGAATGAGTGGTCCACTAATTTATTCAACTTCGTGCCACTTGGATTTGACGGAACCCGATACACACCCAAGTGAGCTGAGCTGAAAAAATTTGTTTGAAACCTGCTTTCGGAGGAACCCTAGCACATTCATTTAGTGTTGTGAGAGAATTGAAACCAGATGAGTTTTAATAATGGGACACCATAACAATCCCGTAGTATTCAAGGCAGAACGGATAACGATATTCGTACAGTCGCAGTAGAAGGGATAAGTTAAGGTGGAACTTCTACTTCGCTGCCTTTCGCAAGCGCATTGACACAGCAGCACAAATGCAGTTTCAGTGTACCCCGGCGGTAACAATAAATTCGCAGGGTAAGAGGTCTATCCATACCAAGGCAATGTGTAGCTACACTTCGGCTCTTGTGGAGCAGAATATATTGGATGTATGACAAGAAAGTGGAGGAACACCACCTAGCATAGTTAGGAACTGGAAGCACAAAGACAGCCAACTCCTCGATAGCGACACATCTTTCCGACAATGCAAATGATCCAAAACCAGTTTATTCGCTCAAAGTTATCTACCATGCCCTGAGTAAGCGCATGCGGATATTAGAAGTTGCTGAGGCGATTGCGATCCAGCGGTATGAAATGAAGTTTGTGTTCGGAGGATGCTCACTCAAGGGCTGGGCCTACCATGGCCCAAAATGCTAGTAAACTATGATCTGCGACGTCGGTTGTTGTAATCTAACTGACCGCGACTGCTAGATGACTTGTAGTGACTGTCCACATATGCTGGTTTGCGCACATAAACCTGAAGACGAATTAACAAAACACATGTTGGGTTTCCCTGACTTAACATATTGTTACGAGATCTGGTAAAGGAATATCTAACCACATAAGTAAACAGATTGACTGCGTAGAGCAGTGGTGGGAATTTGTAATGAGTCGGCCAAGCCCTGCTATAACTGTGGTGTGTACTTCGCATGTGTAAGGCACATACCGCAGGATGCAGCGCTACGCGTCCGCTCGTAAGCTACTGCAGAGGTCAGTATAATCTGCACACCATAATAATAAAATAGCAAAAGTTGAAACTTACAATTATAAAATATACACCGTCGATATGGGGCACCTTTGGAGAACACAATGGCCAGTATGATGTATTGATACACGGCCACTATGAACACAGCGGTGCCTTCGTAATTGTCCAGTTCGTACTCTGTACTCACTTTGTACAATGCGATGTACCTGAGAAACACGGATGGGAGAAAGAATAGTTGTACTGAAATGAATCGAATAGGGGGGGGGGACGAAGAAGCAACACTAGGCAACTGGCAATCTGGCGGATAGGATACGAGCACAACTGCTGTGGACGGGGCATGATGGATGCGTACAGACGACATCAGTGAGGGGACCAAGTACGGAAAAATTGGAGCAGGTTTCGGGGTATTTGAAAACGTCATGAGCTGGGCGCACCGATGAGGATTGAACAAAACCGACACAAGTGCAATCAAAGATGGCGACTGGCGGATGCAAAACGGACACTATTAACGTGAGCATGTAGAGGGGGGAAAGAACTCGCGGCTTAATAAACAAAATCAGTTGGATGATGTTTCGCGAACTAGGATGTGCGGATGGGGAAAAGATCCGTGGATTAAAAACACTTTCTCAATGGCACAACAACAAATAAACGAATAACGACAGAAGCAGCAAATCGGTACACTGTACTGACGCATCGCTAGCATACAAGCAGAAGCAGTCTACAAATGGGAAATGAGGAGAGTAAAATCTAATATCCCTGAACAGACGCCTACAGATGGAGTCTATTCCCTGCTAACAATGCATCACCATAAACAGCGGACTCTCGTCTCAGAATTAAGCGGTTAGTGGGGTCGTGTTTTTGTAGCTTTTAATGCCCATCAGAATCAGCAACCTTAGTACACAGAGAATTCAGTATCTGGGACACTATAATTAACAAATCCAGTTAAGTGGCAGTAAGTCATATACAGCAAGTAAAAGGCATGGATTGCAGCTCATAACAAGGTTTATGCCAACGTCGTTTCGGTAATACAGCATGACCCTGCTGCAAATGGCAACGGGTGTATGTGAAACCTAGTAGAGCCATCCAGACCTAGCCGGTGTCACCTCAGATCAAGAGAGCTAATCTAACTGCCGTCGATATTTCTTCACTCGCGTAGCTCTCAGCCGTGGACATATGGATACCAGGTGATGGCAGAGATGCTCCGCAGCCAACAATCAAAAGCGCCTCGGGTTCGCAAACCGAAGGAGTCATACCATACCGCCGGAAAAAGGGGCCCATACACCGTCTGTTGAAGAGAAACCCCGTCTGTGGTGCCCCATGCCCTGCATGTTTACGATTGTAGTTCTAGCTTTGTCAACCGCAATCATGCATATCGCCGATAATGCAGGTGTCAAGATAGATGTTTTGACCAAGTATTCGCCGTTCTACATGGGAAGAATCAAGTTTTGGCTATAAAGCCTTCGAAGTAAATCGGTGCGTCGCATCAACGGTTCGCTGCAGTCGCGCTTAGGCTATGGATACCGAAAATTCACCAGCACCAAAGCAGATTTGAACCAGTGGTCTCCGGATTACAAAGAGGACGCCTCATCCCCACGACCACCGGCCAACAGTAACTGGATCCTGATCTTGTCACAGCACTTTGCAAGTGTGAAGCGCTTGTCAAGGGATAAGATCAGTCCGCAGAGTTTACCAAGGGTTGACTGTGCCGTCCCACAATTGTGGAAAAGTAAGACGAGATCGTTCACCTAATCCAGATTAATTAGTCTCTCATCAGGCGGCGCCTCAAAATCTGCATCGTGAGGTTCTGCAAGGGAAGCACACTCTGTGATGAAATTTGTTATGGTTGAAATGGGATAAACTTGGTGAACACCACAAGACGGAATGGTGTCCGATAACTTGCTGTAGATTCTGGTGCGACTGCGAGTCTCCGAGAAGAGAAAATGTAAAACGCTAACACATAACATGGGAATATAATTCTGGAAAATTATCTCGGACAGAACTGAATAGGGGGTTGACCAAACAGGAGAGGAACACAGATGCACTGGGCCTGTGATAAGTATGAAAGGAGCGATGCCTGTTTATTCAATAACCGCGATTCTCATACGCAGTAAAGCCGTCGATTGGTGTAAGCCATTCGCATGGTCATCACAGGGGCTATATAACTAGATTAATACGAACTGCGCAAGTGTTCCGCTTGTATGTATCTATCACGTGGCCCTGTTGGGCTACTGGCTTGCAGAAGACTTCGCCACAATTCATGGTCAATGGGACCATAAGGGAACCCGGAGCAACAAAATTCATCCGGTTAGGGTTAATACTTTGTTTCTATGCCCCTCTTAGGATAAGCCCGTAAACTAACTGGGCAATGTTTAAACGATGACGGAGTAGAATAAAAGAACTGAGGCAGGAGGCCAGTCAGACTGTCATCATCGTCAACTAAAACTACACCTAAGCACGTGGCACTGCTTTCGTAGTGGGAATAATTGTTCTTCGTAGTATCAGGAATGTAAGCACGAACGAAGTGCAATGTCTCCCAGTGTTCCAGTCGTGAATAACGTTATGAAACGAGCTGCGTACAGTCGAATTTTATAGAAACCCAAACAACCAATCAATGGCAATTCATCCCGAAAATTGAGAAGGATGCTTACTCGAATTTGAATCTCGACCACTGTATCATCCGAACTGCCGGATGTGTGCGACAAACAGCAAAAGACAAAAATAGGTAGAGGAAGTTCGATAACTGACTGAGAACCATGAATTGTAGGTTCCGACATGCAGCACACGCCAAATCCAACGGCGTTCGAAGTGAATATAAGTGCAGATTGTCAACCTTTATGACCTGAACGCCAACAACGAAGACAGGGAGTTTTGGTAACAAGAAGTTAATTCAATCCTGTGGTGACATAGGAACAGATGACAGTGTTACAGCAACACTGTAACTGCTATCACGCTGGGATCATAAGGATAAGATTGTTGATGACAGTCAGCGTGTGGAAAAAACTGATGGAAAAGAAGGCAAGCATCAGAAGTAGCCTATTTTCGTTTACCAGCGCTTCGCGTAACGATCGATACAAAACTATGATGAAGTTTGTGGGGTAAGTATTGTCTACATTCGGTCTGGGATACTGTTACGGTGCCTTGTCCGATACATAGGGACGAGCTTGATAGCTTAAACCTCATATACGGATGGATAATCGCTGGAGAGTCCCCCGTAAAATCCTTTGGCACAAAAACCTAACCGCAAAGCAGAAGAAATACGATGGCGCCTCACTGTGAAAGAAATGGGTGACATCCCAGTTCCGATTCTAACTCTTACCATTGACCAGTAGAACTCAATAGATTGAAAAGGTATGTAAAACGTCGCATTGTGTTATTAGCGTCCAGTGTCATCACGACGCTCCTCGCGGAGACATGAGTGAAGAAATCCGACAAACTGTTTTGAGTAGGATAGCGACCAAGATGGTAGGATAACAGATGATCATCTTATTTGTGGTTCCAAAAACGAAGGTAGCAAGCATCTTAGAGACATACCATGCACGCCGTTATCGACCACAAACACAAACATAGAACGAGGTGAATGAAATTAAAAGCTCCCTTGTCATGAGTTAAGCGGGTCGCAAAGAGACCACCGGCTGCAGTGTAATTGGATTCATTTGGCTAAACCTTACTGTTTTTCGATCGTCACACTTGTGCACTGGAACCACACAGGGTCACAGCAGGTCTGTGTCCTACAGACGGCGTTTTGTGAAGACACATGAGAAACGATTAAGCCGTAGGATGCAGTATCACCGCTCGTCGTTAGACGATAGATCGTCGGTAGGTGGTATCCTATGCGCAAGCACCCTCGGGTCACTACGCCACTGACTCGACAGATTTAGTTGGGATTTCAGGTTGCACATGATAGCAACTTGTTTGTCTGCAAGGTTCATTCGTTCTATATGCTGCCCTACCGGATCCAACAGACAAGAAGTTGACAATACGACGGCATGCACTTGTCGAGAATTCTGGTAGCTTGCGAATACTTGGCTGCAATACGACTGCGGTGATAGCTGGCGAGCGAAGAGCAGTGACCCCAGACAAAACGATTGCTTGCTCGTGTCGATAGATCTAAATCGATGACAGCAAGCGGTGAGTTGATCTGCCCTGGCGGGAACATTACTCAAGTAATTCCCACTAGAGGAGCGACCTGATGAAGTGAGCCGACTTTGAGTGGCTTTAATTAGTGGGGAGTATAAAATGACTGTGTTTTGCTAAAACACAGAATGTTGATCAAGGCCCAGACTTGGTTTATTGCTTCACGGAGGGGCATCACAACAACAAATACCTGCAGCCGCATGCGGTGTTGGGATATGGTAAGGTTACCTGTGCTTTTTCAGGCTCGAAGCGGCAAACTGTAGATTACAAGGTTGGATCATCTGACAACCGGGCGGCGCTCTCGTCCATTCGCATGGTTTTCAAGCAAATTCATGCGGGTGTATGCCATGCACGGGGTTAATAAGTGGTGCAACATAAGCTGTTCTTTTTTAAGTGGAATCCCAAGTGGCCGACAGAAGCCACTGTAAAAGACGTCTCTAACAGTGATCGAAATGGGGAATCCACGCAGAGACAAAGTGACAGCAACGAACTAGTCAACGAAGTAAACAAGCCAGCAAAGAGGTAGTTGTATACTAAGCGTCAACAGAGAAAGAACGAAGTGAATCATTGACAGAAAAGGTCAAAGCAGTGACGAAGAATCGGGACACACAAACAGAATGCGTTCTCATAGTTGATTGCGGTAGTCACAAATCATGTCGATCAGTGAAGCAACCGATGGAGAAAAGGTTGCTGAAACCGGATGTACGCCCAAAAGGAAACCAGACCGATGGGATCTCGGAAGAGCAACTCGCAATAAAATGTGGTGCAAGCTAAGCGGAATGATAAGTGTTTCCACTGAGTTCTTGAAGTAGCGAATTTGGGTTGCATTATTGAAAGTGATGACAACCACTATGGAGAGCGAGTGAGCATTAACATATAGTGAGCCCGAGGTACAATAGCTATTAGTAGACTAGGACGGTACCTCACGCATGAAGAAAGGCAAAGAAATCTGCGTCGGCATTTTCAAGCCCGATACACCGACTGATCGCTAGCAACGAAGTAGCAAGAGAAACATGTTACTTACGCCCGAAAATACATGCGTGACTCACCCAGGTTACAGATAACCTTTGGGCTAACGGGAACATCGGATGCGGAGAATGATGCGAATATATGTACACGTTGTATGGGATGTTCAACACGAATAGAAGGCAACATAGCCGAGTATAACTACAGAAATTTCGAGGCGTCCAGACTCCTATCTTGTGGCACCGTGGCCAGAAGCGATGCGATTTCCCCAATGAAAATGCTTTCATGTCCACGACGTGCGAACTAGATAGCTAAACGAACCGCCCCCTATACTTAGTGCAAAAGTGAAGCAACCAGTTCTAAAGAAGTTCTGCAGCCGACGAATATGACAGAGCGGTCCACAGCAATGTATGGGGAACGTGAGACCTGGCGGGCAATACGCGCAGATTGCAGCACTTACCGGCACAGCGACACATTTAAACTGTAATGATTGAAGAAAACATACGGTGTCAGAAAGTAGGACAGTTAAGAAAAGAAGAAGCACTAGGCGGTCACCATCGTCGTCATCAAAACATCAACCGTTTGCACTATGACTTTGCTGCCGTACATCAGAAAGCAGGTGAATGACGACTCATGAGGGATAACAAGAGAGGTGATGATGAGATCTTTGGAAACCCCGAATGAGCCCATAAAGTTCACCAACATTGTATGGCAGGAGACAGCTGGCCAATGGATGAAGTTAGACAAGGCGACATCGGTCAGAAAACTTCCTTGCGGCCCTCGCCAGTCACGTTACAAGTCAACTTACTTTACAAACAACTCAGCTTCATACATACCATAGTAAGATAGATCGTCGACAAAAAGCTGTGCAAAACGAGTCGTTGGTCCCAGTTGTAAGCCATAACTTTCAAAGCCTCAGATCAAGAACAAAATGCGTCACGTAGGCCCCAGTCCGGGAGGCGAAGAAGCACAAATAACTTCATTTCACGTTGCCGAGTCAACAGTCACCAATGTCGAATCATCCAGCCTCGAATAAACATGCTGAAGTTTCCAGTAAGCAAAGCGCAGGCATGCGCTGCACCTGCCAAAGTGAACGAACTTACCTATTCCGAGTTGTTGAACTACCGACCAGATCCGATCATCGCCGCCTGATACACTGGTTCCAAACGGCACGCGTAACACACCGTATACACGACATTCCCACACAGAAGGTAACCTGTCCAATGCCGGAGAGAGCACGGTAGTCAGCAGCGTGGTCCAGGATCAAACATTTTGGCGCAAAATGGTGTCTCAGTTGCATGAGGAACTCCACGCCTTCCACAGCACGTGAGCCAAATTTAGCGGTTGTATTTCCATCGATGGAAATGCAACTGCCAAAACGAGTGAATTGATCAACTCGCACCATTGTCTTGTCATCGTGGATTAAAGGTTTAGCAATCAGTTGATGCCTGCCCTTCAGGGTGCAAACAGTATGTCAGACGATGGGACTATTTCGTAAATCAATATCAATCAGAGTATGTCGGCAAGTTGAACAGATTTCGTAGCTATACAGTTATGATAACTCCAACAAGGAAAACGGATGAGGGGAAAGAGAACTTAGCGTAAAAGTTAAACACCCCGAACAAACAATCAGGTCAAAAACACGCAATCACAAACAGGTGGAAATGATGCGAAAACAAAGTGACATTCGCGAGACAGCTTCAGTATGGTATTCAATGATACGCGTCATAGTTGACCCAGCGATAACACAGGAACAGAGAGAAAAGTCAAGGTGGCAACTCATCATTGGAAATTACCCACGTATTCCAGTTTTCCCACGAGTAGCAACCCAATAAACGCACCATAACATTCCCATCCATGATAGAATCAACGGTAAAATCGAGCGCAATCTGGGAAATAGAACGACAGTGGCGTACGTCACCTGATATTGTAAAGTCACTTGGTAATTCGCAACGGAAGCTGACACTTCCCCATGAAATGTTCGGGTGTGTTGCATAGATACTTCAGATGAACACACTTTCAAGAAAGCATAAAGCACAGAAATGCTCAAACGATTCTGTTAAAAGAGCAATAGAAAATAAGGAATATGTCGGTACCTGTAGCATTGTTGGTCTGGTGCAGGCTACAGAACAAAACTATGGTTCACACAACCACGACCTGAAGTCAGAAAGGTGTTTGAGCTTCGCGCTGGCATGCGCGATACGTGGCCGAGCTAACGCATGTGATGTCGGCGAATAACGTTTTGAAGGCATGAGCTGTTTGCTCCAAGCACTCGGTCTCGGATTTCAGTGCTGCTTACGTGATGTTTCCACCACACGCGAGCAATCATACGCAGACAACGATTGTCAAAAACTGATAATCGCCTCATGTCTTCCGAGCGAATACACCAGGTCTCACAGTCGTACAAGATGACCACACGGAAAGAGGCAATCTACACTCTGCACTTCAGCATGGGGCTGACGTCGCGACGACGCCATGGGAGTCTCAGTCTGACGAATGAAAGGCGGGCCTTTGCGAGCCGGTGAGAGACCTCATCACCAACACCGTCACCAGCTGTGATACAACTTCATAGATAAGTGAGGCAGTGGACTTGTACCAGGACGTCACTAGCAATGGAGAGGGCCGGCATAGACATCTGCCAATCCTGGAGTAGTGTTTTATACCTACTTGGGGTGAAATGTAGTCCATACTTAGACGCCTCCATCGCTAAGCGGTTCAAAGCGTTCTGAACGGCTTGTGGATCATCACCAAGCAAAGCGATATCATCGGTGTGGTCCAAGTCCGCGACTCTGTCATCTGGGAGAAGCTCAATACTGAAGTTTTGGACGCCTTCCTATACTCGATTGACGACACGTTCAATGGCAAAATTGAAGTGGAAAGTTGAAATACAGCAACGTTGGCGAACGCCGCTGGTGACAGCAAACGGAGAACAAAGCGTGCTGTAAGACCTGACTTTGCCCGATGTGCGGTTGTGTAGTTCCTTCAGGATGGTTACAAACTTGTCGGGCAAGTCTTTCCTTAGTAGACAGTCCCACAACGCAGATCAATCCAACGAGTGAAATGCCGCTCGGATTTCCGAGAACACTACGGTTGTTGGCCGTCGGTGGACGTGACGGAGTTCAAAAAGCTGGCGGGAATTGAAGATTTGGTCGATGTAACCTCTGAGTGGACGAAAACCGGCTTGTTCCTCTCGGGAAACGCCTTCTCTCTTATGGCTGAAAGCTTGCGGAGTAGGACAGACACGAAAATCGTGAACGCAACCGAGATCAAAGAAATTCCGTGGTAATTGGCGCAATCTTCGCAGGAGCCTTTCTTCTGAATCGGGACAATGACTGAGTCATCCCATGCAACTGTGACTTTCTCGTCAGCCTAAGCCTTTGTGAACAGTGAGAGGATTTCCTTAACAACTGTATTCTCGCCATCCTTTAAAAGAGTCGGGGCCGAGTCAGGGCCGAGCTGTACGACGTTCCAAAGACTAGATTGCGCTTCGGATAACTGCTTCCGTAGGAGGATATGTGGGGACAGACCAAGCAACATGCAAGGGAAACAAAGGTGTCACTGTGAGCGGCGCTGTGTGGTTAAATTGGAAAGCAAATTGCTCTGCCCAGCGGCACAAGCGTCTGTGTAAGTTGGTGATTTTCGTGCCGTCTAACGCACAAAATGTCTGACTGATAGCATGTGAATTGCGACCAGTGGTCCTGATGTGGTAAAAATAAGTTTCAGAAATTTCCAGCCGATGCAGCGGCTTCCATCTCAGGAGCTCGTTTTGACCATCAGAATTTACAGCCAGAGCGAAGACTTGACTTAAAATGTTGAGAGATGGACCGATAGAGTACATTGTGCTTCGCACCGGCGGGCACAGCCAGTCGACGATCTGGCAGTTCGGAAGATCTTACGGAAGGCTAGCTTTTGGCTGTGCAACGGTTGAGGCCTCAGCTGGACAAGCCGGGGGACAGTATGGCTTGTTGCAAACTTGACTAGTGTTGATCGACATCCATGGAAGGGGAGAGAGAGAAATTCACAAAGTCTCTGTTGATCTGCGTTTTCCCTGTTGGTTCATCCAACTTGTGGATGTTCAGTCGGGTTTGTTTGATATCTCCGGCGTGGCCACGCTTGAAGAGAATGTTAACAGAGTGTCCATGTGTCTAACACCCTCCACCTCGATTACTGGCTGCAGAAGACTGGGGATCGTTGCTGGGGGGCCGGGATGCACTGTCCTTGTGGCAGTGCTAGGCTCAAAGAGTGGTTCCATCTAGTATGAAGCGGACTAAGACTCAGCCACCGGCTTGTGCACGTCTGGTACACAGGATTCCCGACATACATAGACAAGAATGCCGATGCTGTGCATATGTGAATCAGCTCCGTTGATGAAACGTGGCTGCCATCCGCATGCCTCCCGGTCTTATTTCTTCGGGTTTACACTGGATAGGGGGTGTGGATAGAGCTGTAGGCGGTGCAGCGCAAGCTACCCGCAGTCTCTCTGTAGGCGCATGCGTCCTGTAACTGTTCTATGGAGGTCACAGTGACAGGCAAATCCGGAACCGGATGTTGCCAACCATATGCGGTTAACTAGTAACAGTTACCATCTATAGCGAAGAAAAGCGAAGTGCTGTGCCAACAAGGATACTAACACAGAAACTGATGGTAGCGGCAGAAATGAATGACTTTTGTTCTGACAGGATTTGCAGACTCTGGCGTTTGTGGGATTGGGACCACGTTTTCAAGATGAGAGAAAAAGCAGCGTGTATACAGCCTGTCGACAGTTGCAATCAGCGCATTCATACTGTGGGCAGCTAAGAGTTCGCCTGATCGGAGCAGTGCGGAAACACGGTATGTATCGATGATCAAATTTGAGGATCTTGGTGGTAGCCGTACGTATGGGCTGTTAACATCCATCGCTGTTGAGTATGGGGATGAAAAGCCGTACAATCACCATGATATGCACGATGTGATTCTTCGTTGAGTTAACCATTCCATGAACGCAGAGCTAGCAACAGAGGGACGACATTATGCGCGTGGAGTCACGAAGTTTGAGACCACCGCTGGGTTTCAAAGTCGCCGGTAAATTGTGAGATGCGCAACCGACAATCGAATAGTTATCGCGAAGGGATCCGCTTGGGTGGTAAGGAGAAGCTAGCACTGGTCTAACTATTCCATGACCGTAGTGTTGCGGTCGCGATGATCTAGCTTGTTATGATAAAACAGCTCGGTTCAGTTCAACTGTGACTTGGGTAGCGTGGAGCGGTGTATGCAGTTACCATGAATCTCATCGCCGGAATAAGAGCAAGTAATAATGGCGAAAAAGGTTAGGCAGAAAATAGAGAGAATACAAATAAAAGAAATTGGGATAAAACGAATTAGTGTGGATAGAAATGACAGACAGATGCAAGTATTCGAATGGAGAAGCGTCACTGATTGCGGAAGTGCGCCATGTCCGACAGGGATCACAACCATTGGTGTGGCCTATCCCGAAGACCCGAT